TGTGATCCAGTGGAGATCGCGTTCCCTCCGATTATATTTGTGCTAAGTGACGTTGGACTTTAGTTCCCATAGCGGCTATCGCCCTCTGGAGTGATTGCACAAGAGAAGCTGGACAGCGCATGCGGTTCTGCTATCTGATAATATCGGTGACGTCAGGTTACATTATACACTTTATTAAACTACACATACACTACCATTTACTTTCCCCTGACGCCACCTTGTGGTAGACCCTACTTCTGGGATTCGGTAAGTTTTGTGTTTGCGTATCTAGCCGTTATAAATTAATTATCCATAGGCCATTTGGTGGTCCTCCCCTCTGTTACTCGTCGAATTGGGTTACGATGGGCCCTAACTCAATCGACCTCAAGTTACCAACAAGTTACAAGTTAGTTAAGTATAAGATAAATACATTTCTTAAAGAGTCATATTGATTAATATTATACATAGTTCTTAAGTACTTTTTTTGCAAAACAAATGTCGACTCACTGTCAACAGAATTGCCCCAGAATATAATTCCATATGTCAGAAGTGGATAGACATGACCATAGTAATAATTTTTTGCTACATCTCTAGATGCTACATTTTTCAATATTGATATGGCGTAACAACTGCTTGAAATCCTACTGTTTACTTTCTCAACATGTGATTTCCAGTTTAAATTACTATCAATGTTGATACCCAGAAATCTCATGTCATGCACTTTCTCAATTTTTTCACCGTCGATTATAATATTTAATTCAATTGGATTTTTTTATAATTCCTAAATTCCATTAGTTTTGTTTTTCCCAAATTTACTTTTAAATTAATTGAAGTTAGCCAGTTCACTACTGTGTTTAGTGTGTTATAAATTTCATTCACAAAATATGCATCATCTAGTTTATCTCTTGATAAGAATATTGTAGCATCATCAGCATACATTACACATAGATGATTGATCATTAATGGAAGCTCGTTTATGTAAATTAAAAACATCAGTGGGCCTAGTATGCTACCTTGCGGTACACCTAGGCTTAATTTTTTGAAATCGGAATGCACTTGAGTTATTGATTTTGTTTTTTTTTGTCAAATGTATCTAATATTGTCGTCTGTATTCTGTCAGTTAAATAAGATTTCATTAATTTTAGGGCTATTCCACGTATGCCTATATGTTCAAGCTGTTTTATCAATATATTATGAACAACACATTCAAAAGCTTTTGACAGATCCAAAAAAGAGACCAACACAAGTCCTTTTTTTGATCTACATCTTTCCAAATATCTTTCAAAACTTTGAATAGTTCTTTAAGAGAGCGTTGTCACCTTTCTTGAAGAACAAGACCACCGCACTTCTACTCCATGCCTCGGGAGTAGTGCCACCATTAAGGACGGAATTAAAGAGCCTCTGAAAGACTTCAAGTATCGGTTTTCCACCCACTTTCAGAAGCTCCGCTGTAATTCCATCCTCGCCAGGGGACTTGCCGTTTTTAAGGTGCTGGAGAGCCATTCTAATCTCGCTCAGACTGACGTCCGGGATATCATCGTAATAGTGCCGGATAAGAATACGTGTAGTGGCGGCTGAGAATATCCACTACCCCATATCTTCCCGTGGGTGTCGTAAGAGGTGACAGAGGGAGGCAGGCAGGAGATGGGCAGCAGCATCTTCCTAATAACAACAACTATACAATAAAAAAACTGCGGTTGCCAACCCGCTTGCCAGGCGTGGCAACTGTGGCAAACGTCCATGGACACAATGACAAATAAAAATTGGTCACGCGTTTTCGAGCTGTCAGGTAATCTATACACCAGTATATTCTAAGTCTATGTATGTAACTCATAGACGTAATAAAACAAAGTAGGTAGGATTTAAATAAAAAAAGTATTTATTTTTGATTTTAGTCTTAGTTATAGTAAGCAGCCATATTTAGCAGCCAACCTAGCTACATAACAGTCTTCACAAAACAATATCAATCTTGCTTTAAGATATAGGTACATAAGTTATTAATAGTTTAATGATCACTGTCAAATTATTCTTAGCTATTACAAAATGCTAAATAGCTATTACTATTTTTTGATTATCTTCATTTATTGTCTTCGGTCAATTCGTTCCCTAATTATCAAGATTAGGGAACGAATTGAACCATTAGGACCATTGAGTTAAAAAAAATATTTCAATCTAATATTTTCTGAATAAATAAAAGAAAAATATTGCTCAAAAATTAAAAAGAAACCTGATAGTATGACATTGCTTCCTCGAAAGAGAAGTGTAGGATGCTACTTGCGAAGACAATTTAACAGCCTCTGATTGTGGGGGTACCTCGTTTAAAGCGGTGCAAATATATGTTTATGAGAGATGACTATACATATTATTACTAGCTTAGGGTTCTGGGGAACTATAGTTGCCGCAACCTCCCTGATGCGATGGGAACGATGATCCTGCCGAACGGCTTCCACTTCCAGTACATGGGCCAAGGCTCCCTTAAGCGTCACGTGGTCCCCGAGCCTCAACGCAGCTCCGACTTCTAGGTCGCGGATACCATCGATGAATCTCTGCACCAGGTTTCCTTCAATAAGCGCAGGTACAGACCGGTATGCCTTCCAAACTAGCTCCTCCACCTCAAGGGCTCACTGCTGCAGGTTTTCATTAATGCGTTGCACGTGATCTTTAAGCTGCGCACGAAAGACGTGTTCCAAATGAGCGTCTTCATATCTCGCCTTCAATGCCTCAAGAAGCTGCTCGTAAGTCACTTCCTTACCAAGAGCTTCCAGAACAGTTAAGGCCTGGCCGCGTAGACCTAGTGTGAGAGCAGTCATGGCCTGACTTTTATCCCAGCCGTTCGCCTTCATGACAGCCTCGAACTGAATTTTGTAGGCCGACCGTACAGATGTCCCGTCTAACGGTGGCACTTTGAATCCACGTAGGTAAGTTGTTCTAGCTACTACGGGATCTGTAATTCCATCCCCAAGTTTGAGTTCGTCCAGCGTTTTCTTCACTTGGTTGATTTGGGTTTCAGCTTCAGACAGGCGGTTGTCATGATGAGCGACCTTATCCTTCACCTCTCTTATCTCTTTCCCGAAGTTTGCGTGAAGGTCATTCATGAGGAACATCTGTTCTTCCTTATCGTGTTCGAGCTGCTGTTACTCCTGTCGACGGGCCTGTTCCTCCTGTCAGCAGGCCTGTTTCTCCTGCCGGTGGGTCTGTTCCTTCTGCTGCTCTTTCAACTGACGGGCCTGTTCCTCCTGCTGGCGGGCTTGTTCCTCCTGCGTCTCTTTCAACTCACGGATCTGTTCCTCCTGCACGCGCTGCAGCTGTTCTTCCAACCGACGGCCCTGTTCCTCCTTTCGGTGGGCCTGTTTCTCCTGTCCGCAGGCCTGTTCCTCCTGTTGGCGGGCCTGCTCCTGGAGCATTATCATCAGAGCACCAAAGTCAGGTGCTGCAGATGTCGGAGCCGCTGACGCGGGCTGGCGGCTGGCCCTTCGAAGTCTGCGGCGTTGCACCATCAAATCGTCTCTGGTCCGTCTCCTACTGGCGTTGACTTCGGGTACGGACACCCTCTGTTTCGTCCTTACGTAAAATCGACATGATTTTATCCCACTTCTGACACTAATTGTTACGAGATTAGGGCTTGTGACAATATAAACTGCCGATTGAATTACCAAAATTGACAATTTAATTACCGACAGCAATTAAAACTTAAAACACACTAATAATTAATCACACTTAACACTTTAGTTCACTTTATTTCGTTCCGAAGTTCTTCGCCTGATTCGCCAATTCAGTACTGCCGCGGTCGCGGTCCTTAACGCCTTTATATAGGACCTTTTCTACTGAAACATCCAGAATGCTCGAGCACATACCGGTCCCGATCGACTAGGAGTAGAAAGTTCTTTCCCAGTTCCGCCACTCGATACTAGGTGGTGTTAATGGGAAAGTTCTAACATGAAACTTTCTAGAAAGCTCTCTTCACTCTGCTACCCGATACTAGATGGCGCTAGTGGCATTAATTATGGCTTGCAACAATATTTGTGTTATTCACCATATAGATACCATTAGTCCGTGGGGTCCACGTGCGGTGAAGTTTCTAAAGGAAATCTCTCCGCGACAGATCATTGCTGCTGGTGATAAGAAGGTTAGATCTTTGTAGCTCGAAAGCTAAGTATAGCCATCCAACGAGGAAACGCAATGTTTTTGACACGATACCATGAGGAGTATGATTGTTGTAGACAGAGAAACCTATAAACAAATTGACGCCTTCTTTCGCATTCGCACACGAAAAAGACAAATTTATGCATATGTCTTGCATAGAAATGAAACAGAGTGGTGTGATTGTTTGTCCCTTTCTCCGTGCCGGTTTTTTTGTTTAGCAAACTACACTTTGCTAAGCACCTTTGACAGTTCGTAGCGAGCTAAGGAGTTTACAAGTTAGTTTAAGTGAGAAAAAAAGTGTTTTGTGAACTTAAGATTGGTGAATCTTGTTCAGTTCAGTTCTTAGAACAATTAAAAAATTTATCTAAATATGTTTAAAAGTTATAAAGATTATTGTATAACCTAAAACTACGTTACCGTCCTTTCTCACTCGAGGCCACGCTAATCATTAGTCTATAGGTTTCTCTGTCTACGATAATTGTGTTGTAATTAAGTTATTACTTTTATTTTATTTATTATTCATTATAGTTTTTTTTTCAATATTGTTATATAATAATAATTTTTTTAGAATATAAAAATAAATTATTATATTCTAAAAAAAGACTATCAATGCCCACAACGAACGAATCGATTGCGCTCTTACTCTTTCGTTCGTTCATTTGATTCGTTCATGTATAGCCAGTCCAAGTCCAACAGTCCAAGCTTGAGTTAGATAGATTCAACTCGAGTTAAGCGCATCTCGAGTTATTTCGAGTTCGTAATTCGAGTTCTTCATCCCTAGTTTGACACTTGACAGTGACATTTTGACTTTTTGTTTTAGTTTTAATCTGTGTAAACTAAAGTTGTGTTTTGAGAAAAAATTACTAGAAAATATCAAGATGGTAAATTAATTCGCAAATTCTTGAATAATCCCTAGTTATAACGTGTTTTTCGTAATATAATAAAATAAAGTAACAAGTAAACTATGTTTTTACAGCTATATTATTTGCAAAAGTTGTAAAAGTAATACAAATCAATGGTTATGAAATTGGGGTTAAAATCAAGAACAATGTATTAAAAAAATACAATAGTATACATTTTGTTGTGAATTATATTTTTATGTGTAATAATATGCATGTGCGTATATGTTTTTTTATTAATTATTGTTTCTTGTTTGTTGGAATGACCGACACTACCGGCCATCTGACAATTTAATCGTAAAGTATGATGTTATTTCTTATTTAATTCATAAAATCTAGTCATGGGCGGTAATTGAAAATGTTAAAATATTTTAGATTAGCTTTTGATAACCGTTTGTTGACATTTTGTTATTTTTTGTGTATAGGTTATATACGTATCACCAATAAAATATCCCTTAGTATCCAATCATCAATAACAATAATATTACTATTATGCACTAATAGCAAAGATTTAAATAGTTAGATGCGCCCTTACCATAGTATGACCACTCCGAAATGGGTCCATTCTCAGATGAGTGAGCTTACTTATTCACAATCAGTGCTTATTTGTGCGACAAAGAAAGTAGTATACACAATTTTTGTAAGATAATAAGAAAAGAGAAATATTGCGTTAGTGTGCGCGCGTGAGCGTTTTGCGGACGAACACATCCAAAAATAATGCCACAGTTCAAGATGAAGGCGCATCTATCTATTTAAACCTTTGACTAATAGGCCAAAAGTCTATAACTGCATCGGATTATTGTTGATTGCTTTTAGATTAACTCTAATATGCAACAGCAAACTATTCCATGTATTTAAACCAAAGGATTTGTTGGTATTTTTTCTTAATAGATCGTAAAGTAGTGAACTTGTTTGCTCCTGTCTGTCTCTATGTCTTCATGTCTGATTACAAAACTACTACTTGTTATTGTTTGAGTGTCTTCAAGGCAAAAGCAAATAGGCTTTTGTCACACTAAGACAGTGTTATTTATGGTATAAGCTTCTACACCACTTACCATCAGGTGAACAAAATTCGAAACATTATTGAAAGCACTGATCTATAAACTGATATATGACATATAGTTTATAACATTAATCCGTTAAACTTTTTAATTTTAAAAGAATATTTTTTAACATTGTTAGGCACTGCAACATGTCATAATTATTTTAAATTATGGGTTTTCTTTAGTAATCTGCTGCATGAATATATGGTCGCCGAGTGGGTGGGGGGAGGGGGGGGCGGAACCTCCCCCTGAAAGGAAAAAGTGCCGGAAACCCCCCTTTTTTTTAATGAATTTTTAAAGTTTCGTTACATTTAAGGAAAATTCGCTTTCGTTTAATAAAAAAAGGGCGTCTGGCGACGAAAAACTCACATTCGGGTCTCGGAATGGGAATGTGGGAGTATTTAGGGTGGGAAAAACGGTGGGAATTAACACTATTTTGACTCTGCTTCTGCTCCAGCGCTGCGGGAAGTGCAGCCCTTTCGCCCTTGCGTAACTAAGCACAGGCACCTAGCTCACCTGCGCAGCTTCGGCTGTTTGGTCGCCTTTGGCGACCAGCCTCAGCCGCTACGGCTCGTACGTTGCCTGCGCTTAGATACAGCGAGCGAGGGCTGCATTCCCTCCGCGCTTCCGGATTTTCATATACACTCTAGGGGTAAGAGCGGAAAGACCACGTGGAAGTTGGGGTTGACAGATTCGGTTTTGTGATTTATACCTTCTGGTACTAGGGTTTGATCAAAAGAAATGACCAAATATAATATTATAAAAACATTTATTTATATACATGGTTAATTACTTTAATTAGTTCCATAAAAGGATCCTTTTTTTTTCTTTGCACTGACCTTCTCCACAAATATTCTATAATAATGTCTGAAAAGTTTTCCGGGTGGTTATAATTGTATTTACTAAAAAATCTTTTAACCACCCGCCATTGCGATTCGATTCTTTGAGTATGAGTGCCATCAAGGGCAACAAATGGGTTCTCAGGATCTGAATGGTTCACCTTCTTGTGAATGTACCCATGTTGCCCCAAACAATCATAAGCCCTCCAGAAGTCGGTATGGATTGTGGTGCCCTCAACCACATGTTTTTTAATTAGGGGCACTAGTATGTCTGCTGACTTGATGTTTTCAGGGCACACCTTTAGTCGTAAATCCTCACTTCCATCCTCAATGAGGCCGAGGATCCAGTGGCCCTCAATCTGCCTTCCTAAAATCAACAATAAACAATTTAGAGTTAGTAAATATTCAAGATATTTATTTATTTATTTACTCTATATTGTACAGTGTACACCAAAACCCAATAGTACAAAATTACAAAAAAAAAAAAACAAATGCAAAAGTACAAAATTTTATAGTAGAATATGTACAACGGGCTGTCTTATCACTCTGAAACTGATTTCTTCCAGATATTTTGGCTTTAAAAGGTATTCAAATATATTTAATAAAAGGTATTAAAAGATAATTTGGGTTCAAAAGTAAACTTTAAAATAAATAATGTGTAATAATTTAAGACTAACATAGGTTAAGCTAATTTACTAACATATTATGGACTATATGTGGGTCTGAAATAAATTTAAATATTATTATATTATTATTATCAATATATTGTTTTAGTCTGTAATATAAGAAAATCAAATTACCTTTATTATATTTCCGTTTTCCAAATTTTGACTCGTCTATTTGGACTACTTTTCCTGGGTCACCAATCTTGGCGATGGCCTCTTGTTGCTCTATTTGTTAAATGACGACTGTCTCCCAGCAGTAATTGTACCAATCGCAGACAGTCGCCATAGATAAGCAGCCTCCCTCTATATCTTTTTCCGGGTCTTCGTGGATTGCATCTTCATAGCTCCAGCGATGCGCATAACAATACATCAGATAGAATACCCGTGGCAATGACATTTTAATATTTTCAAACCAGGTGCCCTTGCCACGAGCTACCCTGGATCGGACTCTGCAATTTCCTTTATTGCAAACAAAGGAGCCCACATTTTTATTTTGCCCATATACCACTTTCATTGGCACTCTATGGGCACTCCTTAGTGGCAGGGATTAAGCCATTTTCAATGGCAAACTCCACACACTGCACTCTGGTACCGAGTTCTCGCACGATTCGGGGTAAATTAAAAAATTTAGCTTCTTCTTCCACATATAAACGCCTGCGCACAAAATCACATAAAGCTCCGCGAAGGGTACTACATCCTTTGCCGCGGCGTCGCTTGCGTTCGACGGACCGGCCGAACTAGTTGACGGCGTAGAGTCGTCGGCCATCTTGGGTCTCCCAGGTAGACAGACAGGTAGGCAAAGTCCAAAAAAACGTGCAGGGGTCTTCGTAGGGCAAATCGGTGGTCCGGTATTCGAGCACGGGTCTTCTTCAAGGCAAATCACAGGTCCAAGAAACAAGCAGAGGTCGAAAATAGAGCAGGCGGTAAACGGAGGCCCGATAATCGAGCAAGGGTCAAGAATTAGGAGCAAAAAATGAGCGCAAAACAATCAAAGTCAGAAGGCGAAAGTGGAATGGATGGTGACTAAAAAACAATACGTGGTTTAACATCGTATGTTAGAGTAGGATAGCACTATAAATAGATTAATAGATCATACAAACTATACTATTGTTATCTCTTTCTAATAATTATATCCTTGTTGCTTATTTTTTTAAAACAGAGTACAGACCATGCTCTATTGCTATCTCTTTGTAATAATTATATTCTTATTTCGTATTCGTATCATTTTTAAATGGATATAACCTCAAAACTATAATTGTCGATATCTCGAAAACTAAAGATTTCCGGCATAAAAAACAGCTAGATGATAATTAATAGTGTCATTGCCTGTCAACTAAAGCTAAAATGATCAAATAATTATGTTGTTATTTCGTTTCGTATCATTTTTAAATGGACATAACCTCAAAACTAAAATTATCTATATCTCGAAAACTAAGGATTTCCGGCATAAAAAGCAGCTAGATGGTAATCAATAGCATCATTGCCTGTCAACTAAAGCTAAAATGATCACTTAAATCGTGCAGCAGATTACTAAAGCCGACCCTAAATTATAAATAAAAATAACACTTGACATTGTTTCCCTGTATTAATATGCAATGGTAACATTAATGATGCAAGATGTTCCAGGTGTTTCACTCTGATAATACCTATAGACATGAATGTCAAATTCTCTGTTGCTAAACACGCAGTAGGCTTATTTAAAAAATAAATTTTTTCAGCAACCACAGATCTTAGTGCTGAAGGAGGGGACAGACCAGTCGCAGGGCAAGCCACAGCTGATTTCAAATATCAATGCATGCCAACTAGTTGTTGATGCGGTAAGTGTATGCATTAAAATTAAAAAACAAGAATTGCTGCATATTTTATACTTCACTGCATTTAAATTCCAGTAGAAAGAAACAAAGGCAATTCATTTGGCTGCTGTTAATCCTACTATATGCTGTGAAATAAACCTCCCCCCCCCTGAATAAGCAAAAATAGGAAAATTGCAAACTCATCCCTCCCCCAAATGATAACATATAAAAAAAATTTAAAACTTTTATTACATAGTATTAAAGTTAAAATTTGAGATTCCATAATTGTTAAAATTGAAGTATTAGTGTTTTAATAAAATTAGAAAAGTTTCTACATCATTAACAATTGGTATCACATCTTCACTTAGGTACTTAGGGGTTCAGCGGAAAGCAATAGTAATTTTTTATGCTCTACTGAGGTTTACGATTTAAAGAGGTTTGTGTTATCGTGATTCCACTCTAATATTCTTGGTTTAGTGACTCTTGCCAATAATAACTGTTATTATTTTATATTATTTACCAGCGATCCACCCTAACTTCGCACAGGTGATTTATAGATCTTGACAACAGCGCGAGCTACTGGTTTTTTTATTATATTGTGAAGCTAAACCATTCTCGAATCAACTTTATCATACACACATGGACAGAAGAATTATTTATATATAAAGATAATTCTTTACTTAAGTAATTATTTCACTATAAATAAAGTGTAGTTTGAAAGCATCAAGAAAGAAAATGACAAGATGAGAGTTTATATCGCCGTTATACAGCGAAAACCAATTAATAAGTCAAAATCAGCTTTGAAATAAATGCAATTGAAATTTTAGCGACAAAATTTCTTACAAGAACCAAGATTATGTCAATAATTAAGGTTATTTAAGATTGTATAATTTATCCTTTTATGACTGTAATGTTAATTATTGTAATCTACTTAGTAGTTAAAAGCAAAAAGTATGTTAACGTTCATAGAGTACCCTATTTAATTGGTTTTCCCTGAAAATGTAGAAATTTTATTTATTGTAATTTACCGAGGAACAGCTTGGATAACACTACCGTTAATGTTATAAACAAATTGTATTATGGTTGTTTACAAAAAATACATTGACTTCAATGTTGTATTTGTCCATAGAATTCAAAATAAAACCAAAAATTCGAAAATATACTTGGTTTTACCTGAACTGAAAACTGTTTTGAATGAATGTTTAATTTTGGTTTTTCTTAGTTTCGGTGGTTTAAGGATATTGATAATTATTAAATGAAAAGTATAATGTTAATAAAAATGAAGTTTTAATGCTGAAAAAATTAATCAACACAAAAAATAAAAAAATAGTTTAATCCTCATCAGATGTTGCAGGATCTTCGTCTGATACAGTGCAATCAGGTAGCATGTCTTTACATGCAACATTGCTATTCAACCCTTGAAACCAAGTATGCAAATCTTCTGGAATAACTCCTTTGTCACATAGTTGTAACAAGTCTTTTTTTGGCAGCACTGATGCTTAAAGGAGCTTGTAAAGCTTGTAAAGCTGCAGAAGTTCGTCAGGAAAATATTTTGTTGCACTGGTTTCAGGTGTTACGGACAAATTATTATCGAGAGTCTTTTTTTTCGTTCTTGTACCATAACTATGCTCTCTTTGTGTTTCCGGATCTAAATTTGCCCAACCCGTATTTTCTTTCTGTCCAAATTTTTTACAAACGTCAATGGTTGAAAAAGACTCAGACATGTTGTAGTTATAAAATATCTTCGCCTCTCCTTTAATATACCTCAATCGCTTTATCTTTAACCATTTTACTACTTTTCCGTCTGTATCTTTGGTTGTATTTTTCAGAATTTGGTCCGATAATGCTTTCAAATCTTTGAATTCAAAATATTTCAATTCTTTGACTTTGTATGGGGGTCATTATCAGGCGACTCATTATTTGGTTGATTTCGGTGGCATTTTTTGTTTTTAAATTTAGGCCTTACTAACATGAAATATCTATTCTAGAGTTAATTTAATATATATAAGTAGAAGAGGGAATCGTATAGACCGAATAGTTAAGAAGGTATTTAATTTTAAAAAAATGGTGTCCACTGAAATCAATATTTTAATCACCGAAATCAAATAAATATAAAATAATTTATATCAAAGATAATTTTCTTAAGGTAAATTTACTGCCTACTTGATAACTTCTATGAACTTATGATCTGTAAAGAATTGCAGGTTAATTCGACAACAAAAAAATTTATGTTATCAAGACTTATGTGTAACCATTTTTATTAATTTTTGTGAAAACTTACAAAAATCAACGTTAGTAGAAAGCTTTAAATTATTATATTAAATGTCATTAAAGATAGTATTAAACTAACATTATAGGAACTTAAAAAAATCAGCATTCTTGGTCGAGATCTAGCTTAATCACAGTCAATTTACTTATTGAAAAAAATTACTACAAAATCACTTAAAAATCAATCCTTTAAACAACATCAACAATTGTAGAAGGCACTTACATAACTAATAGTATTTGTATTTTTAATAAAAATATTACTTTTCTTTTGATTTTAAGACAATTAAACAAGCTTTAGGTATAATAATCACCCAGCATTAAATTATCAATGTAATAAACTTCTCATAAAACTTTGTATTACAGTTTTCAATCCTTAATTAAAAAATGTTATATTCCTCGTCACTACTTTCTTTACAATTTACAATTTTGGAGACTACTTCATTCATTAATGTCGGAGCAATATTTTCACAATCTGTCGAAACACGTGTCCAGAAGCTGTCACTTTCATGTAATCCAATGTCTGAAGGTAAGGTATGGGAAAGGCGCTGTTTGGTTTCATAGAACTCATCAGCAAGATCAACAGAATAGCTACAACCAGGTTGAATTAGAATATTCGATAAAATTTGAGGCTTATTAGATTCAGTTGCACTGACTCTACTCCCTTTTTTGGCTTGACTTGACTTTTTAATCAGATTGATCTTGTCACTCTTGTTCTTGTTCGTTCTATCAGTCAACAGTCTATCAGCTTGCTCGCCTATGATGTATAATCCTACATGATGCCCATGTTCACATGACACAGAATTATTTTTACATTCACCTTCGGCGCAACTCATTTTTTTCATCGATAGTTGGTTGGGCTTATTGGCGTTCCATACTGCTTGATGTACTTTCATAGTCCCTGCAAATTGCTTGAGATTGGATGGAATTAGCAATTCTTTTTCATAAATACCGGAATCGTCAATAGTTTTCGTTATAATACCTTGAACAGATTCAGATGAGTCATCAATGATGATAAGCTTGTGATATCATTGCCTTGAGCAACTATTCGATCAGCTGTTCTTTTGAGTGTTGCACCGACACCATCTGGGGCTCCTTTTCCATGGCCACTTTCTGTATAATTCCATGTAATACTAGTCAAACTGGGAAAGTACCAATGGAGTTTACTGATGATATAAAACATTTTACGGTTTCGGTACTGAGCCGACGGACTATCAGAAATGAAATGTAGTATACGAATATTTAGATTTTCATCTTCTATGAATTTTAAAATCGGAAGTAAATGTTCCCAAATGGCTGGTGCATCATGGCGTAAAGACTCTGATAATGTACACATCGACTGAACTTTCAGAAGTCCATTTTTACGATAGTAAATGACCACGGTGTGCAGGGTTATTTGTTGTCGGTTACCTCCAAAATGAACGGCTTGAATTTCATTACCGTATTTTGTGCTATAATTTTCACTAAAGTCGCAGTGAATTATACACTCTTCCTCAGTGAGGTCGCTTTTAATTTTTTTAATAAACTTGTTTTGTGCGATCATAACTCCACAGTGAGTCATGTATGAAGGTAACATTTTTTCAAATTTTAAAATGGTGTCCCTGGGGAAAGTAGTCACTTTATCTTTCGTTGTGTGAATGGTTGTTTTTGTAACTCCATTCTTGTAATAAGTTTTTTTACTTTTTTGCCAAATCCAGTAAAACAATACTTCAGTGTTATTGAATTCATTATAGATTAAACTTTTATCTTTGCAGTCATCGCATTTTCTAGTTAAACATGACACATTCGAAGAGTCACAGCACAGTGATGACAAAATATCTTTGGTAGATTTTTCTTGAATTAAGTTGTTTTTTTTTAAAGCAGTCACCATCAAGTCCATATTTTCATGTTCGATACAAAGACAGGTTTCTCGTTTATTTACATTAGGTTTCAGTATCCAAAACGGTCGTTTTTTGCAAAAACTGGAGTAACTAATTTTATTTTGGGGATTTGTTTGCTTAAACTTAGTATATAAGTCTTTTAAAGAATCATTTAAATAGCGTCTTTGTTGTTTATTCTTTTTTTGGGTAATGAACTCTTTCTTCCCAGAACACATACGACTGTTTTCATCTTCTTCAAGAAAAGTTTTGATGTCCTCTTCCACATTATTTTTAATTGTTTTTATAGTGTCTGATTCACTTTGTTTAATATCTTCAGTATTATTTTTACTTATATGTTCATATTCTCTTAATTTAGCACTTTGATATTTTAATCTATATATCTGTTTTCGCTGTCGTTCGTTGACAGTCTTCAATTGATCAATCTTCTCTTTCTGTAACTGATATATTTTGTTCATGCGGTATTTAAGTCTACGTATGATAACTTTGTTATTCAGTTTCTTGTTAGCTTTTGGAGTTGGAGGAAACTCCTTTTCAATCACACGAACTGATGATCTTGTACATGGCTTTGAAATTTTACTTACGTCACTAGACGGACGCAATGGTGCTGACGAGCCTCGATAAGCCTTAATACGCTGAGGTAAAGGAAATGAAACGACGGATGAACTTGATGGTAGCAAATCAACATAGGAACTTGCTTCAGTTTGAAGCAACTCTGATCGATATTGTTTGTGATTGTGAAGTCACCAAAGGATCGTCAGTTTTGTCGGTTACTTCTGGTACGATTATTAAATCCTCTTCAAGACACCTCATCTCTTTACGCCTTCTTTTCAAATTGTGTTTGTTGGAAGATATTCTACTTCTCTCTCTAAAAATTCGTTG